CTTAAACGTCCGGTCCCTTTAAAGTTGTCGACTTTAATGTATTGAGAACTAGATTAAAAATAAGATACTAATAATGCCCGTTTTCACCATCAATCCCTATTTTTAAGTGACCCCTTTGAAAACAAAATTCCTGTTATGTGTTACCATAGGGGTCACTTAAAAACTAGGGATTGGTGTTGAAAACGGGCATAATACTATCGTTTATAGGTAAATGGTTGAATTCTTCAAAGAATACGTTAAATTATTCCTAGAGTCAACTATCGATAGTTTATGTTTTACTGGCATCCCTAGCATAGAGGGCGCCACAAGCGATTTCGCTTCTAGTCACGTGCGTGCGGTTTGGTTAGGGAGGGCTGGCCCTTTGTACCGATAGTACGAATTTATTATAGAATTTTATGTGGCTGAAGAATTTATTTGGACTGGGATGCAGTATTGTTAGAATGCTCGACATTGATTGAGGTTTAGACGTCACATAGTGTATTTATGAGTAAGAATAGTACTATAGTTAAATCTAATGGTTTAATCGATTTGCAGTTCAACACGTTCTAAGTCTAGAAACCTGTAGCTATATTTGAGAGGAATATCTAATTCCGTGGTTTTCGGTTAGAATCATCTCGTTTGTTGGTTATTTGAAACGTTTTGTTAATTAATAAGGCTAATTTTCTTCATAAAATAAAATTTTGGTAACGTTAACACTCAAAATACTTATCTAAATGTTTTTTAAGAAATTATTTTTATACAGTTTAAAATGAACTTGCTATTTTAGTCTTTTTCAGAATACTTCTTGTAAACTATGCCACGGACTTTGTTATCTTTTTCAACGTTCATTTAAAAGTATACGGATCTGTATCTACAATTAGTACCTACTTGTACCTAAGTACAAACACAATTAAAAGTTTTTAAGGACAAGAAAAGTCAATGATTCATGAATGTACAAAATTGTTCATGCTTAGCAAATTAAAATCAATATTGTTGTTGATTGGGGAACTCTACAATACAGTATGCTAATTAATATATTTTTCCTCTTTTCCTTCTTTCGTTCTTAAATAAGAAAATCCAATTTATTATTGTTTATGCCACTAATGTACGAGTGAGTTGGTAAATAATGACGTACTTATTAAGGAGATGAAACGGGGAAATATGGGTAAAGGACCTCCGGTAATTACTTGATTATTCAAACGTGAATCACGTAAACATTGGTCATAGGTTTATTTATAACAAGTATAATTATTTTGCAATAAGATCCTAGCGATTCCTTCATAAACATCATTGCAAATTTTGAAATCTAACTATACCATTATAATATCATAATAACAGAAAAACGCTAGTTTCGGTTATAAGCTTCCATGTCACTTAAGCAGACTTTTGAAGAAAATGCTTCGATACTAGTGACAGAACGCCACGACTATAAAATAATCAAAACTATAAAATAGTACCTTATTATTAACACTTTACTTTATTTCTTTGTTTAGGAATTGCTTCATGTAAATTCATGTTTTGCAGGATATGCTCCAGCCATATGATACACAATAACATGTTACTTATTTGGTTGCGTATTTGTTTTTACGTTCTTACATAACGGATATACGAGCACATTAGACCAACTTTGATAGCCTATAAGCAGTAACTATAACTAATCGAGATTAAACAAACAAGTGCGATTAGGGATAACCTTAAAGCTAAATTACATGTTTCTGCGATAGGTATCTGTGATATCACTAACTTACGAGATATTTTCAGATTTCCTGAATAAGAAATCTTATAGGATATCTTGCTATTGAGATAAGAATATGATACATCAAGTATTGTCAGTACTTACTGATTAGTGCGGGGTCATCCTAAACCTAAAATGACGATGGAAAATGGTACAGAAAATGTCTTGTAGAGGCTACTTTTTTGTGTATTCTTAGAAGACATTTCCTATATTGAATTTGAAAGAAAATCTTAAATTGTGTAACAAAATGTTCTCAATACGAGTATGTAGGTACCCTTTCATTAGTGTAACTACTTCGTTTCTTGTTTTTACTGCCATCTAGTAATTGTTGACTGGGAAAGAATGCCTTTAGCTATGAAATAATTCTGGCTCATTCAGTTAGTTCGTATTCGTTTCTATTCTATAATAGAGTTCCTTTCATCTATCGAAAATACTCTACATTCCAAAAACAGTCGATAACGAGTACAAAACGGTCCAAATTGAAAGTATAACTCGGCCACGCGGCCCTAAGAATGTGCAAGGCGGCGAAATCTATAGCTACGCTCCGGCCCTTCGCGAAATTATTGCAGGACCGCCGAAAATGGGTCAATTGCCTCTTGTGTGCGAGCGGGACACCCCAACCCTGGCCGTGGGCGAAAGGGATAGAGGTCTTAATTCGTTCAGGTGACGTCACGAGGGTTTTAACGGGCCCGTTCGTTTTTTTTACGTCTATTGTTTTGGTGGATTCGATGCAGGCGCTCTATCGGCGCGAGTAGAATCAGTAATGTATCTTTCGCTTACTTTTTTTATTTTTTCTGCAAGATAAGGCGAACTTTGTGAAGGAAATGAGCGAGATGAAACAGACGATCTCGCTTTGATCTCGCGACTGTTTATTTTGTTATAATCAGCGGAAGGCGCTCTATGTGGTTGATGAGCTCTTTGTGTTTGCAGTAATTTGCGCGGGCTCAATTGACAGAGCCGACGCCATGTTTGCTCGGAACTGCTTGTAGGAAGTCATTGTTATACCAATTTGCCTACCATTATTTTTTAAATCAGGACTTAGATATTGCTTGTGAACAGCAATTGTACAGAAATAAACTAATACAATTCTTAGATCAATCATCTTGCCCTAAACTAACAGAGCTTCATTTATGGTGACTAACTAGATAATGTAGACTAATACATATTGATAACTTGTATGGGACCGAAACACCTAACTAGTGTTCATGCTGATCACAAAAACGCTTCCCCCCACGGGATTCGAATCTGTAATCACAACTGATGATCGTTAATATTGACTACATAATTATTTCCTAATTGTTCAGAATTTATTGACAGACTTTAAACAATTTATGTTAAGGTAATAGCATTAACAAAATCTTGATGCACGCTGAAAATGAGAAAAGTTCTCAAATTAACCACAACTGTTGAAATCCAGAACCACCAACGTTTCGTTCCATAATTTTTCCTCCAAAAAGTCACTAATTAACCTTTGTGGCGAATGCACAACACAATTATGCAACTGTTCACAGCAAATAATTGTTTCGTGCAGTGAAACATTTGCAAAGAGAAGTGGAGCTGCCTTTGTGAAGCGGCCTGTGAGGCCAAGGCCTCAAGGAGTGCACACATCGTTAGAGGCGGTCAGCCTGAACGTAAAATGATTATCAAAAATCAAAATCAAAAGTATTTATTCAGTTTAGACCACAAGTGGCACTTATGAACGTCAAAATTATTATAGAAAATAATAAAAAAGAAAAGTTAGCCCTTATGGGGCACTTTACATGTCTCCTTATCTTTTGGGCCCTACCAGCGCTTCGAGACAAACATATGGCAAGTGCTGAGAAGAAACGCCGGAACAAACAAACAATTAGATATGCGCTATAGAAATGGTATTGGAATGTATGAGCGCGAGGATATAGGAAATTGAAAACTAGCTAAATATACATACAAAGGGCTCAGGCCTAAGGCAATAAGTCAAATAATGAGTAGTTTCCTTATTAAAATGAGCGCTATCATATCAATTTTTAATTTATCATCGATTTTCGACGACGACGTTGTGATGAAAAACAAACAGCTATGAAACACATCAATACATTTATACATACTAAAAACATAACTAACTTACACTACCATTCCTCTCTTTTAATAATAATTATCAAAGTGTATAATAATGCTACTGATATCTCAAGAAAATAGCGATGAAAGAGAAAGCGCTATCCCTGAATATTGCATTTGAAAACTATAGAGCGTAGGTTTATATGAGGAGTGTCTTTTCAAAAGGGGATACCTACATTCTATCTTATTTTTCACAAAATGGGAAAAACTTATATGGGAAATATTTACAGACCTACCGAAAAGCATTATTTCTGTTATGAAACTATTTCATTACAGTGTTCTAACTACACTTTTTGCCAAAAAATATGACTTATTAATTTAAAGTTACAGAGTTCAGAAAAATCATAATATCCTCTTTTGACACGGATCTTTTATAATATCCCCCTTTGTTCTNTTAAACAATAACTGTAGAAATCAATTCTACAATGAATATTCTTTATTTTGGGATACTTTTATTGCAGTTATTGCTGTGTTTTTAAATCAAAAACCACGATCAAAATGTGACGTTAATCTTCAAATTTGCCAAATTATTTTTAGATTTTACTCAATAATGGTAATGAAATTGAAGAATCTATTTCATTAATGGACTACAAGAATATATGCCCGATGATTACTATATATTTTTAAGCTTATTATATGAGCATAAATAATAGATAGGTACAGGTCTTTGAAAATGAGTCTGCGGCAATTTTTCCGTAAAATGGTTGTGGGAGATGGGGCACTGTGAATTAAGCAAAAGAGTTTTAGTAAATCAGTTTCATTAATGGTCAACACCAAGGATTGACCTATCTTTCGCAGTTATTAAATGATCTCTGGGTGTTGCTTAAGATAGTAATTCATGCTTCCAAAATCTTAGAAATTCGCACAAAAATGTAAAATGGCTCTTAATTCTAAGAGTAAATAATTTGCTAGTTTTATAATAATGCTACAGCGAGTCTATCTACCTACAGCAAAGATTTGTAAAATCGACTCGGTTGTGTTTACATTTGGTACAGTCAGCCTCAAATATTTCGTGACACCCAAAGTAGCCAAAAAGTTCGCAACAGGGTGTGTCAACTTTTTGGCCGCTTTGGGTGTCACGAACTACTTGACGCTGACTGTACATAGTTTCTTCTCTCACTCAATATCGGTATATGTAGTAAGATTTGAATATCTATTGATATGGGGTTAAAGTACATTATTGACTTATTAATACTTAAAATCAACCTCTAATCCATATCTGAAATCAACTCACGCGCACGGATTATTAGGCGCTGTCAAATTGACGTGAGAGCACGCAACGCGAGTGCCATCTGGTGCCGGCACCCTAAACAACTTCCCTTGTGGCATACACACGCACACTTTAAACTGCCCCTGGATCCTATCAGTTCTGTTGAAAGTCAACGCAATAGGCAATGCCTTTACGTCAACGAAGACTCCTTCTTTCCCGCTCAAAACTACGGAACCGTTGATGGATTTTAAGTAGATGTCCTGGTCAGCGCTCCAGAGTAACTGCTTGGATTCCATGTGAGTGCCTTCGGAGCCACGAAGGTGAGCGGAATTGTCCGAACGGAGGGTTAGGTCTTCGTCCACTGGTGCTGTGATCCGTTTTGTTGATACTTGCTGGAATGAGAGATGAGAGATTATGTAGGCAATCCAGCCCCCCTATACTAGACTACTGGAAATACGTGAAAGGTTTAATTTGAAATCCCTTAACCAATGAGTATTTATTTAACTACTTACATACAGAAAAATCCTAGAGCGAAGGGTTTTCGAAATTGCTACTATCACGTTTCCCCTCTTGTTGGGAGGAGTGTTAAAAATGGTTCGTAATTAGTTCAAGTTGACTGGAGAACTGTGAAATGGGGTCTTAATCATTTTTCGTCGCTCTAACAAAATAAAGAGCAAGACAGTGCGAGTGCGGAGTAGGGAAAATGTGAAAAAGGACACGGCGAATTATGGAAAAGTAGATGCTTGTGATAATAAACTTGAGCCATTGAAACATGGTTACATGGCCTACCTTAGCGTGTATGTTGTTCAGTCCAGTAGGAACAGTGATGGAGGCGGCGCTAGTACTAAACATTCTCCAGACTTAGGATCAAAATTAACCTTATGAGTTCGAATGAGTTGGCGCCCAAAATAAACCTTATACTAGCGCAATAAGACTTACTTTAGCGTGTATATTGTTCAGCCCAGTAGGAACGTTGATGGAAGCGGCGCCAGTACTAAACACAGTCTCTCCAGACTCAGGATCGGTCAATTCAAACGAGTTGACGCCGCGGACGAACAGGCCAGATGTGTTCACCACCAGCTTCGTATCGGAGCGGGCGACTCTGGAATAACAATATGGGCTCTTTAAAATAAGCATCGGCACATCTTCAGGGCAAGTGCAGTGTAGGTTGTCCACTCGCAAGGTGGACAGACGCCCTTATAAACGTAGGAAGGCACTGGAAGCAGGCCACTGCTAACCGGCCAATCTTGGAATCATTGGTGGCTATCCCCCGCATCACCCCAGGGCATTGGACTAAAGATGTTGGAAGATTAGAAATCCAATATGGAATTTGCATCGCAATTTTAAAGGTCCAAAGGGACCCCGTTTTTTTGTTGACTACGTCTTTGGGTGATAGACATGATCGGTCGTAGATACGCGGACCAAATCAAGGATTTATTTTCGATAAAATCTTTTGTATGCTAACGAAATTATTTCAATACGCTAATAGTGGTAGCCTATTCTATTAGTTAGTACTCTGCTTCTTACCATCCAGGATCACTGACCTGGTCTGCAAGTTGAAGTTGACGGAGCCGTTTTCGCTGGTGATGCTAACAGGCTCGTCGCGGAAGCCCTCGATGAGGCCGTCCCTCTTGTAGACATGCTCCAGCTCCGCGCGCCCCAGGAGTTTGATGGCGTTGTGTTCGGGTAAGAACTCTATGGATTCCATGCCTGTAGGAAAAGTCGTGATGAGGCGTAAGAGCTTTATTATCTAGCAGTCACCTTAAGAGTAGGCGCACATACACATCGCGTATTGATTTTTAGTTGGCCGATAGTTGTGCCCGATTTTAAATTGTATAAAGAATCGGCCAAATCGAATCGGCGTAGTGTGCGCACTTCCATACATGCCCATACTGATCAACTGCCCGACTAAACTATCGGCCGACGAAAAATCAACGGTGTGCGCCTACTCTAAAGCCGTCTCCAGCGCGCGTTTTGCCCTACACAATAACAAAAACATGTCAACATTCAACAAAATTGCCAGCGAAAATGTTTGAATGTTAACATGGTGGCGTGCGCGCAAAACACTCGTTGAAGACCCGGCTTTAGTAAGACTTGATTTTTGCGCGAGATTCCCCAAAAGGACTTTGGATTTGAAGAATAATAAAAATCGGGCAAAGCCGCTGGCAAAAGCTAGTACAGGCTGTGCAGTCAACGTCAAATAGTCCGTGACACCCAACGTGGCCAAAGTATTATCAACACCACCTCTTTTGGCTACTTTGGGTGTCACGAATTATTTTACGCTGACTTTACTTAATAACTTTCTTATTTTCGAGACTAGATGGCGCTGTGTACATTAATATAGGGTGTACTTTAATAAGTAGGATTAGGACAGAAGGGCAAAAAAAGATAAAGAAAGAATGAAGGGGCCTAGTTTTCTATGGTAAATAGGTCAACAAATTCACGGACACTTACCTTGTCCGAGACGCAAAACAGCCAAAATAGTGAATGTCAAAATTAAATTTCCGATCGCGAGCGCGAACAACAAACAGACCAGGGTCCAAAACGCAAAAGTCTTCCTTCCTTTATGCATCGACTTCGTAACTTCATTCCCATTTTTATCCGAGTAATTTTTAACATTCCCCGTGGATTTATTCAAGAAAACCTGGCTCTGTGTAGGCGTCTTCGTAATTAGCGCTTTCTCTGCGCGATTCCGTTCTAATGTACTTTCCGACATATCTTCAGAGGCGGGCGAAACTCCACGTAAGCCCCCAAACATACCAAAATAATATTTATTACAGTTTTTTGGTAAAGAACACGAATTTTATAAATAGCCCAAATGTTTCCACAAATCTGACAACTCAAATTATTGAGCGAAAGATGCGTTCCCCTATTGGTGGATTCATCAGCCAATAGGAATCAAGCTTCACGGACTTGAACATATAGTAATTGGCCAACAGGAATCGAGTATTCAATTGAAAATCGGTATGGTGTAATGAGCCCTTTATTAAAAAATTTGACATTTGGCGGTGATACTCTCTAATCTGTGGCGGTGATGCCAACATAAAGAAACAAACAGAAATGATTTGACAATTTGCTTTGTAATCATGGCGTCAGAACGTTACAGCTTTTCTCTTACAACTTTCAGGTAATTTTGCTTTATTTACGCTTAATTTGTCGCTAATTGTTACACCAGTATAATCACTAACAATGTGCCTACGTTTGTGTATTGTAAAATCATTCTTTGACCCGTAAATGAACTAGAATTGAAGGTACAAACTTTACTGTGTTAGAAAGTGTTTTAATTCTGTTTAATTCCTATTTTATTTATAGCCCGTCAGGAAAATTAGTGCAAATCGAATATGCTTTAGCCGCTGTAGCAGCCGGCGGCACCTCCGTCGGCATAAAAGGTAAATAATATGAGTTATTTCAATCTCACTTTGAGGTTAGACTCTTTCGAAATTTTGACACAAAATTAAAGCAATACACTGCTATTTCTCTATAAAATTAAGCATAGAATACGTCTTTCTTAATTTTATCAGTTGATAATGCAATTTTTAGCGTTTTTCAAGACCTTTAAACGTTTTTGCAAAGTCATCAAAATTATAGTAAAAATGCTAATTACTTGTTAATAATTATGTTTCAGCATCAAATGGAGTCGTCATTGCAACTGAGAACAAGCACAAAAGTATTCTGTATGATGAACACAGTGTGAACAAAGTTGAAATGATCACAGGCCATATCGGTAAGTTGGTGTTAGTGATAAATAACTAAAGTGAGTAAGTAAAGTAAAAGTAAAAAAGTATTTATTACTAAAAGATGTCACATTGTACAAATTATTCTGGCGGTCTCTGCACTAAGCAGGAAAGCTTGTATCGCAGCGGCCAATATGAACAATTACCTTAAAAATAATGACATTGGTCTTGATAACTAACCATACTGTCCCAAGAGCCTGCAAACCTAGTATTTACATAGAAATACTAACACAACTTAAAAATTGTGCTCTTCAGTGCTTCGTGCTGTTGTAAATCAGTGTCAGACATCCTAGTGTACTTTTCTACACAACTATCTTCCGCGAAGAGGCTTAGTAAAACATTTAGTTTAATCCTTGTCATTCAGTTTGTAATCCGTGACGAGTAAATTATTCAGTTACAATACAATCTCATTTTTTGATGATATCCATGAACCAAAAAATCTTGAGTGTCTCAATTTATACTGAGCAGGCACCATATTGGCATGACAGAAAGCACCTTTCATAGTCTATACATAGTAGTGTTCATTATTTGTTATTTGTATAATTTGTGTTAAATAAAGTTTTTATTTCTTGCTTGAGGCTTAACGTTGGACTGACAATCATATTTAATTCTATTCCTATTTTGTATATCAGTGATGTACAGTTGTTACAGATTTACATGTAATAAATAAATGTTTGAAGTCACCACTCTTACTTAGTCCAGGCATGGTATACTCGAGCATGGGCCTAAACTACTGCAGCCGTATACAGAAAGAAAGCTACACAAAGGAAGCAAGTTAAATGGCATTAGTGTCCAGCGCTGACCAGCGCTTGTTGAAACTTGTCGGCGCCGTTCAGTGCTTATCGGCGCGCGTTCATATATTTTCCTGCGCGGGTTACCAGTGCTGTCAAGCGCTTATACGTTTCTAGCTTTCTTTCTGTATACGGCCCAAGATGGCACAGCAGTCCCTTGAATTAACATGTCGTACCGTTAAATGCATAATAAGCACACATTTATCACTAAGAATAAGTAAATCATCACTTCACGGGATTTATTGCAACAATATCCATTTTAACGGTAAATAAAATATTTACCCTCCCGACGTTTTGGCTCGGTTGCACGAGTCATGGTCGCGGGCAGACTGAAAAGATGCGGCGTCGTCTGTCGGACTGACTGTACCACTGACGAAAATATTGTGCAAATGCGGGTGGGTGAAGAAAACTCATCGCGTCGGAGCAGACGACGCCGCATCTCCTCAGTCTGCCCGCGACCATGACTCGTGCAACCGAGCCGAAACGTCGGGAGGGTAAATATTTTATTTACCGTTAAAGTAGATATTGTTGCAATAAATCCCGTGAAGTGATAATTTTATAGTAAAACTAGCTTTCCGCCCGCGGCTTCGCCCGCGTGGAATGTTGTCTGTCACAGAAAAACTTTATCGCGCGCGTCCCTGTTTCAAAAACCGGGATAAAAACTATCCTATGTTCTTTCCCGGGACTCAAACTATCTCTATGCCAAATTTCATCAAAATCGGTTGCGAGGTTTAAGCGGGAAAGCGTAACAGAGAGACAGACAGACAGAGTTACTTTCGCATTTATAATATTAGTTGGGATGGGATGCAACATAATCATCATCATCAACAGCCCTTTACAGTCCACTGCTGGACTATGAGCCTCCTCCACTATGGTGGAGGGATTTGCCATAATCCCCACGCTTGGCAGGCGGGTTGGAGATCGCAGTTTAAAAGATTGATATTTTTCAGAGAGCGCTGCTGGCCCATTCTCTGTTTGTTGTGTAGTCCCTAAGTCGCCTCTTACGACACCCGCGGGAAGAGTAGGGGTTGGTGACAAATGTATTCTACTCTGCCGTCACCACACGGCGTGTGCAACATAATAGTTTAAAATATAATAAGTAAATCCCTGAATTTTCCACTAACCTTGTCTCCAGGCATGGTATACTCCGGCATGGGTCCGGACTACCGCCTGCTCGTTGCTCAAGCCCGCAAGATGGCACAGCAGTACTTCCTGATGTACCACGAGCCGATTCCTACCGCGCAGCTGGTGCAGCGGGTAGCTACCGTTATGCAGGAATACACGCAGTCTGGGTAAGTACTTATAATCCAAAAAAAACAGCTCATCTGCTTTCAAAAAAAAATATTTTTAACAGCAAACTGAGAATACTAAGGCTGAGTTGCACCACCTAACTTTGACCGTAAGTTTAACGATATAGATGACCCACGCTGAACTGTCCCACCAAACTCGAATGACAACAACAACAACATCGTTCAACTATATGGTTTCCAACATGGCAAAAATCGGAACCAGCGATCCGGTATTGACGGTGGCGCCCCACTCAATGTCATGCATAGGACAGTTCAATATTTTGGAACTATAATCGAGGTGTTTTGTATGGAGTTTGACAGATTTCTGACGTTTGTCAAATTTAAAGTAAGATGGTGCAACCCAGCCTAACAGTTGTTGTTATATTTGCTTGTGTTTTCTAAAGGCATTTAAGTTTCTTAAATGCTTAGGGCCCCAATAGGTTAAAGTTGGCCCACTATCCACATCTTAGGGATGAAACCATGGAGAAAGTATAAGCGACACCCACTATCTCTATTAAACTACCCGCAGGTTTTTTGTCGCCTGATAGCTTTTTTTTTAAATAGTATGAACATTTATGAAACTGCGTGCATTACACTGATTATTACAAAAGAACCAAAGTTTCGGCCAATAAAAAATCGTAGGCAGTAGGGACTACGCTAAAACTCGTGTGGGGGCGCTCGCACGCATGGCCGCATCGAAAAATAGTACCTACTACCCGTTTGCGCTAAGTTTGCGGTCCGTGGAATGCGCGTCCCCTCCCCCAACCACGATTAAACGCAATTAGTTAGTGATAAATGCAATTAAATGTGTCTTATTTTACGCAAATACAATTTTTTTATCAAAATTAATAAATAAAAAATATTTTAAATATAGTTTCTTAAAGATATATTATAGACGCTTTCCTTCGAGTGACATCATTTCGCCAGCAGCAAACTTAAAGCGAACGGATAGTATAGCAGTGTAGTGTCACAATATAATGGTTTGTTTTACATCACAGAGGCGTGCGTCCCTTCGGCGTGTCCCTCCTCATCTGCGGCTGGGACGGCGGACGACCGTACCTGTTCCAGTGTGATCCATCCGGCGCGTACTTCGCCTGGAAGGCGACGGCTATGGGAAAGAACTTCAATAACGGAAAGACATTCCTTGAGAAAAGGTACGCACACTTAGGCCCAGAACAGACGGTGAAACGCAACTGCAACGAAACTGCAACTGCTAGTTACTTTTGAGTTGCATCTAAGTTTCTGCCATAGCGTCCGTTGAGAGACCACACATGACGCGACCAGTTTGAAACTTTCATGTGTAGTCTCTCAACAGACGCTAGTTTAGTTAGGCCGATTTTAAAAGGTGGAGTGGAGCGGTGAAATGTTTTGAATTACCAATAAGACTTCATTTTACCCATTATCATTCCTATTAGGGATGTTTCCTGGGTAAAAAAGCAAGTTTTAATCGATCTCAATGAAATCAGATTGGTTATTTAAAATATTTCTCCAATCCACTCCGCCTTGCTGGAAACCTTATTTATTTATTGTATTGAATAGACTCCGAAAATACTGGACCGATTTGAAAAAATATTTCATCATTAGAATCCTACATATATTATTTCTGATGAACATAGGCGGTACAAAGTTCGCTGAGTCAGCTAGTACCATATAAATTGGTACATAATATGAATTGCAGGTTAATCTTTGGGCTCTACAGAAAAAACTAACCAACCGAATGGAGAACCTCCTCCTTTTCTTGAAGTCGGTAAAAAAAACTAGTATATACTGTAAAGTTTCATCAAAATCCGTTCAGTAAATTTTGCGTGATAGAACAACAAATATCCATCCATTCTCAACAACTAGCAGGATAAGATATTAATACATAAGTGTCTTCTCTCTTTCAGATATACAGAAGAACTGGAATTGGACGATGCAGTCCACACGGCGATCCTGACTTTGAAGGAAGGCTTCGAGGGGCAGATGAGCGCCGACAATATTGAGGTAAAGTATTTTATAATGTTATTACATCAGACAAAAATATTACCTTAAAACATGTGTAATATCATCATCATCCATTTAGTCTCCACTGCAGAAGCAAGACCCTCTATTTATCAGACGCAAATGGAGGATTTGGCCTACACTCCCCACTCTGGCCAGACTAGGGAGGCCTGAAGTTCACGAATAACCCTTAGTTGCTTCTTATGATATCCATGCCATGGGAAGAGGGGGTAGTATTTAACGTGATTTCCCTAGACCCTACTAATTAGTTCTACTGGCAGTATCACGGATAGTTTATGTTATAGGCGGTACAACTACTAAATTTTTTCTACCGTGGTTCTATGAGGCAGGACTACAGGCAATGCCCGGTTATAAATGCCTATTTGCAAATAGAAATGAATTATTATCGATCCAGTTTATACCTGCCTTTAAAAAGGTAGTAGGATAAAGCTGGATGTATGCCACTAACAACCAGCTAATCTGCAAATCACTGGGGGAAGCCTATGTTAAGCAGTGGACGTCCTGTGGCTGAAATGATGATGATGATGGAATAGGTTGGGTTGGGGAAGTCTGGTGTGTTGACGGGAAGAGTCTGTATGCTCGCGCCTTTAAAAGCCTACTTACCCTGGGTTGCACCATCTTATATTAACTATCACAAACGTCAAGCTCCATACAAAAACACCGGTTAAAGTTAAAGAGGTGCAACTGAGGCAGGGCCGTCTTTAACCTATTAGGGGCCCTGGGCACTTAAATCAAGGGGGGCCCATATCATCTGGAGAAAGGTCTTTTGAGTAGACAGGGGCCCCCAGTGTTAAAAACTTAAGGGTTTTCCCCCCAGATTTAGGGGGCAAATAAGTGAGATGGGATTTTTAGGGGTCTAAAATTATTAATATTTTTGAGGCTTGGTAACACTGAGGGTCCCTTCGGTCGCAGGGCCCTGGGCACGTGCCCAAAGTGCCCAGTGGGAAAGAGGGGCCTGAACTAAGGCTTTAAGACAGTAAGAAAGCTCAGTATGTTGTTAAATTGTCTCATGTGACGTCATGAGATTTTATAAACACCTATCAGAGTGGGGTAGTTATTTTTATAAAATCCTATTTGTAGATAGTAAATGCTTACTTTACTTGTTTCCAGGTGGGCATCTGCGACGCGGCCGGCTTCCGTCGCCTCGAGCCAGCGCACGTGAAGGACTACCTCGCCAATATCCCATAAGATTTGTTATTGTGAGAGTAATAATAATAAACACGTTTTCTAATTAACCTACACAAATAGTGGTTTTATTTCATAGTGATAACATCTAAACTATTAATTCGCAAGCTTCTATCGCTCATACACAAGTAGGCACGTGCAAGTTTGAAAACTAAACTTAGGACTACCTGTCTAGCTAGGACAATAATTTTAATATGTAAATCTACCCATACTTTACACAAACATGAACCTTTATGCACCGCCTACTTTCATTTCTGCTTGTCCTAAAGGTCGACTAGGAGAAAATTCCATATGGCATTAAGTTCACATGTTCATCTGTAATTAAGGGTGACAAAGTGACTGAAATCATTAAGTGTGTCACCTGGCACATGAAGTAAAAAACGAGTACAGCTATAACAAGTCACACATAGAAATCTAATCCAAAACTACAACCCAATCGAGCTAACTGAAATGAAATGAAATGCGACTCCCACTCACCCGTGCTCGCCCCGTCCGTACCAGAGCGTCAATGTGACGTCACGGTTGCCAAGTGCGCAGTTAACTCTACTACTACTTCTACTAAAAGAAACTCCAAGTCGCATCGATTACATTTATTTATCACCTAGAAACATAAGCACCGAAACATACATTGTTCTTTTTGTCCGAAAGCCTGCATTTCCTGGCCCTCCTGGACAATATATCGTGTCCAGGGTACAAACCAGACACTCGAGTTGTGACAGAGAACTTACTGAGCTTTGTACTAACGCTTTTGGGTCTGGTGACGTCACTGTAAGCGTCGCTCAAGTTTGAGAATCGCCCAGAAGATGCCGATATTGATGTGATAGCCAGGGGGGTGTCGTTGCCTGGAATTCGAATTTATGGCTATGGTCTGGTCTCCGAGCACGTAGAATATTGTCCAATGACCCCAAGCTACCCATCCTTATTGGTCGCGCGTAATTATATTGCTGTCGCGCTCGCACACACGCGGGCGCTTGTCGCACAGTCGCGACAGCAATAGGTATAATTACGCGCGAGTGATAAGGATGGGTAGCGTGGGGTCATTGGACAAAATTCTACGTGCTCACAGACCGGGCTTTAGATGAATATGGAACACGCAGTTTTGCAGATCGTTGCGTCCAAAACCAAAATAAAACAAATAATAGCTAGAAATGGCCTTATCTCAAAACTCGAGAAACTTTTTTATGGACATATTAGCTTCAACCATCGCCGGCGCGATCATAGGCCAATGACAGGTCGCGTGACCCATGACGCCGGCAATGGCGATCAGCACGCGTTGGTGTGGTTGAAATTTGAAACATAAGGCTTTGTTCGGTGCGTCATAAGCCATCTACTTCCGGTCACCGGTGTCAGTGTGATTTGGGACACCCTGTATACATTTTAGACAGCACCATCTGCGGTGTTACACCGCCCATCTGTATTTTGCGGGTATCGAACCCGCGACTTCAAGTCAAAGACTTAACGAATAACATTAGAAACTTCAGTCGCTTTCAAAGACGAACCTACTTAAAAATAACTACGTTTTTTACATCCGTCCGTATACTTACTTTTCATTGATAGACTATGAATGGCACTAAATGTTATTTTTCAAACATACCTTGTACTCTCGATTTAGTTTGCTCCACATAACTGGACCGGAACTTTCCGTAAATATCTATATGCTGTATCACGTTCAGAAGCCCGCATCTTTTGTACCGATCTTCAATAGTTTCGTCGTCCACCACAGTTATTGTACCAATTTCTTGTTTAAGCCCATCCATAGTTTATTACTGCTTAATTTAGAATAAGAGCGTTGTGTGTGTCATTTTTATATTAGAAGGGCTTCCCAAAGTATTTTAGTTTAATTTTGTTGAAGAAAGGGAATTTCACATCGCGCGTCGAGTGCCAAAATGAAAAACCAAGCTGTCACAACAAGGAATTTAATTTTTTATTAGGTTTGTCACTCACTGTTGTAAATCCGATCAAAAACACGTGTCAAGATGTTTGCCAACAAGTTTGTACAAATATTTCTTTTTAATAAATCAAAGCAGTTTTTTTTTAAAGAATGCTACAACTTTTCACAGTTGAGGAGTGTCTTTTCAAAAGGGGATACCTACATTCTATCTTATTTTTCACAAAATGGGAAAAACTTATATGGGAAATATTTACAGACCTACCGAAAAGCATTATTTCTGTTATGAAACTATTTCATTACAGTGTTCTAACTACACTTTTTGCCAAAAAATATGACTTATTAATTTAAAGTTACAGAGTTCAGAAAAATCATAATATCCTCTTTTGACACGGATCTTTTATAATATCCCCCTTTGTTCTGTACTTACTGTAAATATCCCCTTTAGTTGTGTACTATTTTGTAAATATCCTCTTTTGTATTGTACATCTCAAGATTTTAAATGATAATAAAACACAGATTATTCTTTTTTTTTAATAATAATAATGACCAAAATTAAAGACGCTACTAAACAGAATTATATTTTTTTAATTATTAGACATTCAAATCCTGATTTGTCCAATATCAGGTGTCAGACAATCACACAACATAGATTCCATTTCGGTATTCTGTTGGTCTTCAGGGCTGCAGTTTGGATCATCAATTAATAATTTTTTATACCACTTCAGTTCATCTAAACTGTACCACACTCTTCGCCAAACTGTTTCTTGAGCAAATAGACGTCAAAATAGGTACCTTGAACTTGCCAGAGTAAAAAAATACCGAAGCGTTCAAAACATACAAATTTTGCGTTCCGTTCTACAGAGTAAAATGTCTAAAAATAAATCCTAAAGCATAAAGTTAAAGGAAATAAAACACTATGTAAAAGTAAATATCCCATTTTGAAACGGCTAATTGGTATAGTGTAAATATTTGTATTGTAAATATCCTCTCTTGTTATGAAATGAAAAATAACTATAATTTTTTTAATTTTGTAAGTGTAAATATCCTGTTTTGAAATGAACACTCATATTTGAAGCTGCTTTACTTGGGAGAATATCCCGTTTTGATTAAGATTTAAGTGACGAAAGTTAGTATTCAGCACTAAGAACAAGACTGCATACTCAGTTTAATAAATAATAAAAATGTAAATATCCCCTTTTGAATAGACACTCCTCATATGTAGTGTTGTTACACAGTTTGTATTTTCAAGACCTTTCACTACGAACTAGTTGTAAGCTTCACATAGAGCCATTTAAAGGATAATTTACCCCAGTTCGCCTATACAAAACATCGGAGTTTAGTACCCTTGAATAATTTACTCGGCACGGTTCCGCCTAATGTGGGCTGTTGTCCAGAACTGCTTAATTATACGCACTTTAGAACTAAATCGGTTTTCTTGGGCGAACAATGCGCCCGAGACGTTGACGTAGTGTTGCAAGGGTATGATTTAATGCATTATCGATAAACAATTAACTAAATCGTTTATAGTAAAGTTTAAATGTTCCTTGTAGGTTCTCAAAGTTGAGACATATGTATTTAGAAAATAATCTATGTCGCAGTCACACTCACACACAACTCGAGATTTGATGATACATATTTTCTATAAATTATTCCCGTTACACCGTTACAGTATGGCTTAATGTGAGTGTCACAATTTAAGGAAATATAATACTTACGTGAGAAAACAATGCAACGGCAACAGCAACACGCTTATCGTATTAATTCTAATAAGAGTTTTATATTTACTTGATGATTGACAAGTTAAGGTAAGTAGTTAGGTAATTATGAGATGAATAACTTTGAAAAGTTAATGAAGATAGTAGTATTCATAATTCCAACAAACCTCATGGCAGTGCCTCGGAATGGCGACTTACAACCCTTAATTTAAAAAAAAGATTGACATTAAAACTATCGATAACCACACAACACTAGTACACACTCGAACTAAATCGGTTTTCTTGAACGAACAATGCGCTCGAGACATGTGACGCAATGGCTCGTAGTTCCCAGTTTGTAGGGCTATTGTTTTTCATGGATAGTAACTTAAACTGAAATGAGATTCTTGTTCTTGTTTTAAGGTTTAATCTTGAAGGTCTTATGTCATCTTCTGAGGATTTCGGGGGTTTAATGCCTTCGCAAGGAGATATTAAGTTGATGTATATGGTTTCGACTGTACATTAAGATTTATATTGACCTTTTCTTGTTTTGTAAACAATGCTTTATGAAGTGTATTTGACCTTCTATTGTCTTGGACATAATAAAAGTATTAAACAAGAATTTTTCCTGAAAAACCTTTACTGGTATTTTTCGCTAAGTCAATCAAAGTTATTTTTGTACTTACCTAATTAAATAGCTCATCTTCTAGGGCTTTTAGACCCTTTATCTTACTTACGTCATTTAAATTCTAAGCCAGAATAGTGTACCTACTTAGATTTCTGAATTATCTATGTTTCCTGTTTTATATTCACTACGTTTAATCTTTTTATCCTTTCTGTGCCTTTGATCGTTACTCTTGAGTGTTTAGGTATACATTTTGGAATCGGCGTAAAATTGGGATATTTTAACGACTCTGCCGAACGGTCAAGAAAAAATACAGGTCGATTCTGCGTTCTGTGCGGTGAACGAGAAAAGCGGAGAAGCTAACATGTAGGCACATTCTGTGAGTGTGATTATAAATTATCTTGTGAGTGACTACGATATTAGTCGAGTCGATAAGACGCATTAATGCAGTTAAAATCAAAGATGACGTGCTATAAAAGTAACTAAGACCATTTCTGAAAAAGGTTTTCTTAAAATAGCTCGCAAAATGCCTTAAACCAAACTCTATACTTCTTTCATTCGCATGTTTGGTTCCATTTTACTGGCCGGGAGACGAACCCGTAAAAATGTTATGGTGGACTATAAAATCTGCCATAAGATATCGGTCGGACGGCGATTAGGCTTTCCAATTACCGATTCTGGAGTGCTTACAGGATGCAAAAACAAGGGTGTATACTGAATTTACGGTCCTTACCCACGTACCTATGTATGTACACGGCCTTAGATAGTTAGGCTGCGGTCACATGATATAATGTAGCTTGCACAAAGGGCGACATAGAGAAAGTTTATGTCGCTTCTAATTAATAAGGATGCGATAGTGTTAAGATAAAGCCATTTTCTTCAACTTTTTCTATGGATGGTATCGTAAAAGGGGTTTTCAACACTTGTAGGGATGGCGGATTTTTTTTTTAATTTTTCGGCAAGGATTTTTTTATTTGGTTAGCATCTAATACAGCTCTATCGCAACTTCCAAAATTAGCAATATGAAAATTGGAATCCCTAATCTTTACGAAGTTACATTTTAAAACTTTTTTTAGCCACTAATAGTTGTACAGAAGTTTGCAAGGTCCCGTCACGTCTAATAGAACAAATTAATCATGTCTGTCAGTCTGTCAATTCCAAAGAGGCGCACCGTAAAGTTGTTCCCCCAGTCTGCCAGGGAAATGGAACTTAGAGCTTTGATAAAGTTTTAATATATTCTTCGGCGAGTTCCCAAGTTGTCTCACAGGGCGCAGGTTATGACGGATCCTGGACAGGGTTGGCATATGGACAATGTTGCCATGAAAAAACATTACGACTGCCTGAATATGTTAAAAGTAGGGGTGACGTCATCTATTGATTTTTTTGTACAAATTGTTGGTTATGAATATTTTTTTACGCAAAAAATACGGGACTATTGATTTTTTTATAGTAATTAGGGTGTAAAGTGTACGTACTGATTGACAAAGACTTGGAAAAACATAGTTCGCTTCTATGTTAAAATATTTGTCATTCTTTTTCGGTAAAAAAGGAATCGTACTTTCTGATAGTAATATTTAAGTTCACTATAACAAAATGTTACTCTCTGTATACCTACAGCTACAGCCTACAGGTTACCACCTGTCTAAACAATATGAAATACTAGTACAAAATATTTTTACAGTTTTTAGATCCATTTTCAATTACGATATTCAAAACAAGGCTTAGGTTAGCAATTGAATGCAAATAAAAATATCTACTATCGTATTTCGATTCGTATTTTGAGTGGAAAATGAATTCAAACTGTAATTGAAAACACAAATACCTAGTTGTTTCATCGACTATTATTTTGATAAACTGATAATGGACTGGGGAATTCATGTTTTATTTATATTTTATGTTTTTATGAAATAAAACGTAGAAGACGGTAATAGCGCTCCAAAAGCGGGTTATTGGATAAAATTAAATTATTTTAATGTTTTAGTCAGAGAAGCAAATTTTCTTATTTCATTGCACACTGATAAATGAAAAGACCTTAATAAAAAATAAGATATTCACTTTAAAACTACATTAATAGAACCTGCAATTTCAAAATCAAGCAATTTCATAACTAAGTAGTGTACTTACCCCTGAGTTGTTTTTTTTTAACCAAAGTTAATTAATATAATATTCAATTAAAGTTTTGACTTCTGACAGCCCTAACGATGCTAACTTGCTTTCTTTGCTTCGCTTTTTCCGTTCTGCTTCCGCCACGGAAGGATTTAATTATGAGTAGAGTATGAGCAATGTGTGTCGCGCTCGAACTTGACATTTCATTAACGAAGTGCCTACACTCCCATGGAGTTCTACAGAGAGCACACAGTGGTGGTTGTCGCCGGAAATATACCAATTAAATATTAATAAGTCCTTCTACATTTACTACAAAAAAAAGTAAAATCCTATTTAAAATTTTCGCAACTCACAATTTTTAAAGTCAAATATACTCGTCAGTCGATTTTTAAGACGCCTGTTAACAAAGTTTTCCTCTTGCGCTCCACCAATTTACTCCTAAATGTAGAGGTACATGAAAAGTACTTATTGTTTGAAAAATCAAGCAACTTTTACATTGAATAAACTTCAAACAAAATGAACTTAATTCCAATGAACAGGTAGGCTCTTTTATTTCCAACTTAACG